AGGGGACCATCAAATCTCGATCCAAAACGTAATTCCCATGGTGATTTGTCCCCCCCGTTGCCATGACATTCTGCATGAAGCACCAATGTCGGGCAGCATGTGGCCAGTGCCAATGATTCAGACCTGCTTGGAGCAGATTGACACGAGTGCCTTCAAGAACTGACCGGACTGCTCTCTCAGCTTGGGCGTTGGACTTGGATATGTAGTCCCTACTTAAGACATGACGGCACTGAAGGATTTTCATTGCTGAGATTAACTCAGGTGCATTGTCACTGTAGAAGACTCCTATCTTATCTTCATGTCCAACAAAATGTTTAATCGCCAAGATAGCAGCATTGGTGGTTCGCCTGGCATTGGGGTAGACATACATAAATCCTGTAGCTATGTCCTTCACGACGAGTGCACTTTTCTCATCATCGATCCCCAACTCATCTTCATCTCTGGTGACGATAAAATCAGCAGTGATGTGGTCACCAAATTTCTCAGCTCTGACTTTGGTTGATCCGCCTACGGCTCTTGAGGGTGGCTTGAACATCTTAGCTCTGGTGCATATGTCACAAAATGGGTTCTTAGGGATGTGAGTCAGCATGTGTCGAATAGACTTGGCTTCTTCTTTTAAATCTTTTTCCCCTAGTGACCTTTTGTGAGCACCATCATCATGGACATTACTACTGCTACCCTTGGATCCTTCCACAGGCGGCTCAACCTCCCGGTTGGCATCAGGAACATCAACCTCCTCAGCCTCCAAGGGCTGGGGCTCCGGCAAATCAACATTGATACCCATGGGGTCATCACCAATGATTTCAATGTCCCCATCGGGCTCCGGAGATTGTTGAGCTTCATCTGATGCCGGGGTGGCAATGCTTGGTCTAGGCTGAGTTGATGGAGTGGAAATCGTCTTTGAATTATTTGCAAAGTAGGGTACGTAATCTCTGACAACTAACTCAATGCGTTCCCCATTTGGTTTGACCATGTACGGAGGTTCACCTTTGGAGCCTCTCCATATGAAGTCGTAACCATCATCAATGCATCTCATCCCGACTGAAATGACAGGAGGTGAGCTTCGAACAAGATATGGGTCAATGGTCTTGCCTAACTTTGGAACAAATACTTTTCCTTGTTTCGATGACGAACTCTCACCATTGGCAGTAATCATGCGAATGGGATTGTTGGAGTAGTATCCATAGTCATCTGGCAATTCGCTATCATTGACAAGATCTTGAGCACTCCCCGTATCTGCAATCCAGTCAAGTTCGAGGTTGATCGCTCCCTTCACGTCTTCTCTACATTCCGCAGGGGTGGCTTTGATTCCCTTTGGGATACATTCATTGCAACCAAAATCTGTGTTACATAAATAGGCACATTTGCATTCTATTCCCCGAAGACAATTGGAAACAGATCCTGCCAACATGGTACCGGTCAAAGCGGCATCATTCACAGCAAGTTGATCAACTTCAAACTGATGTCCCCATGGAAAGGTAACCTTATCCTTGGTGACTGCGTTTCCAATTGGCCTCAAGTTCCCTCGGACTTTAACATGAGATACGTCCGGTGAATCATCAAAACGAATCGATGGACAAAATACTCTTGGTTGAGGGATACAAAATGCCTGAGACACGGATGCTAGCATGGATGCAACAAGACAAACTGCGGCAGGAGACGGCTTAGATGAACTGGCCCCGGATCCTTTAGACTTCGGGGACTTCGGGCTCTTGGGGCTCTTAGAGCGGCTAGAGCTTCGGGATCCCTTCCTTTTCGGGTTCTTGGGATTCTTCTTTTTATTTTTGTTTTCGCTACTGGCCGAACGGGCAGGGGTAGCTTGTCTTGGTTTTCCCACTGAACCCTCATGGAGGAATTTGCAATCAGCTCCTCTATCGCAACGTCCCTGTTTCCAAAATTCGCAAATCTTCTTACCTTTCCCCTTTGGTCTGGGAGAACCAGAACGTTCATTTGAGCGACCTCTGGTTTTGCTGGGTTTGCGACTTCTGTCACGTGGCTTGGGGACTTCATGCTTGTAAGTACAGTTGTCCTTGCTACAGCCTCCCTTATTCCATGCCACACAATACCCCTTGGGAATGAATCCTGTCTTGCCCTCGACTGCAGGAGCGGAGGGACGACCGGAACCCGAAAGACCTTTGGCAACTCGATCACGATTTGCCTCCAACCTCTCACGGTCAAGGTGGCGTCGCACGGCAGAAACAAGGAAACTGTAGTTCCGTTTTTCGGTTCCTTCATCAGCTCTATGATACTCATTCATGTCATGTTGGATGGCCTTACAATTCTTCACTTGTTTGTAGAAGAGTGTTTCCAATACACTTTCGTCAGGAGCCTGGACAATACCAGCCAACACTTGATCCCAGTTTGAAATGAAAGACTTCAAATTCTCCCCACGCAATTGGACACTGAACAAATCTTGAAGGGCATAGGTTGCTCCGTGCTTGATGTTTGTACTGAAGTGGTCATGCAACATGAACAACACTTGTCTCCCTCTTACAATTCGTCCAGCGGTGGCTTCAGTCTCTTTGAAGGTATCAACCTTGCGGGCGAAGTCACCAGTGATAATATTGGTGAGTGCAGAAAGTAACTTTGCATCAAGTGTCGCAAACGGCGCAACCTTCCGGAGCGCTTCAAGGGTCTGTTCTTCTTTCCAAGAATCGCTAATCCACTTGAAAGCACTATCGGGATCGGTTGATGCTGCTACAACTGCTTCTCTGGTCTTAATTCTCCAATTGCGATAGGTTTCTGCCAATGGGAATGCTGGAATCTTGATGGTGTCAGCTTCCTTGACTTTGGGTTTATCGTCATGCCTTTGGTCAACGTAACCACCAAGAAATTTGATCATTCTTCGCCTGAGCTTTTCATCATCGTCATCATCGGGATCATCATAACCGTCATCACCACCGTCGGGGGGGTTTGGATCATTTCTTTTCTTTTTGGGAATCTTACGACCCTTATTTCCCTCCGGCTTGTCATCAGGTGGTGAGGGTGGTCCACCTCCCCCGTTCCCTCCGTTGCCATCTCCTCCATCCCCAGGATCGTCACCATCTGGCAGACCGTCTTCCCCCGGCTCGAAGTAGTCCACTTCATCTGGGCCTAGCTCGGTCGGGGCATATTGATTTGTCGGCGCAGGGGAATTGACGTTATCCATGGGATGGTTATCTCGGCGTCGATTATTGGCCTCTCCTCCCGAAGGGCGTTCCTCAGCTGAAGACCTTGCAACATCCGACTCCTTCTTCACTTGAACTGGGACTCGATATGATGGATCATGATAAATAATCTCAATACCATCCTTTTCATAAGTTTCAGTACCAGGTGAAGTAAAGCTAATCGGTGCTCTTGGAATAGGAGGTCGGGCAACACTCGTCGGAGGCGCTGTAGGTGCAGCTTTGCGGGTTGGTGGAACAAACTCAAAATTTGGGATCTCCGTTGGTGCATGAGTTCCGGCTGTGATGGTCATGGCGGCAGTTTCAACAATCGGACTTGGACGGACCTGAGCAAATTGGGAATCGAGCATACTTTGCAGTTTCAGATTGTGTTGCATCTGGGCTTGTACCATGTGTTCAAGCTGGGTAATGCGCTCATTCTGAACCCTTCTCTCTTCCTCAGCTGCTCTTCTCAACTCAAGGATCTCTTGCTCCTTACTTGATAGTGATTGTCGATGGTTAGCATCAATGACACGTTGATATGCCTGAATTTTCTCATTCATCTGAGCCTCACGGAACCTTACATGTTCATGCGCCTCATGCTGTAAGTTCTCTTTATATTGAGCACCCGCATTTAAAAGTTCTTGTTCTTTGATTCTGATAGCATCAAGGGCCCTCTGACTTTCAATGCCCTCGCGGACTCGCAGAGCTTCCTTCAACTCCTCAGTCTTGGCTGTGTGGACGGCTTCGGCCTGAGCTTCGGTGTGAGCCAACACCTCACGATGACGGAGCTCGGCCGCTGTTTCCACAAGGCTTGTCATTGCAGGATCATGTGAATGTACATGCAAGTTCTGCTCGACGAAATTGACTTGAGGATTATCCATCTGCACATTGTGATGGAATGTATTGTGAACATTCATTTGGTTCAACTGGCGAGTCGGCGGCCCACCCTCCCGAGCGGCTTGGGGAACACAACCACGGTGGTTGAAACCCACATGGGAAGGCACAATTGCGTTACCCATGGGTGGGAAGTGGCGGCGTTCCCTTAGGCTTCGTGACTTATCGGAAGATGGTGGGGTGCTTATATGAAAATTAAATGGGGTGTTACTTATAGGCAAGTTACCGGGGTTGGCCATGGCGGCGTCAGAGGACATGCGCCCGGTGCCCTCGGTGGAAGAACCCGAGGGGGCAGACATTGCCTACAAAAGAGAAGTTAGCTTACGGCTGATAACCTGTTTCACAGGTGAATCAACCTGAAAGCACCAGCTAGCGCAATTGTTTTGCTTGAGCCAATGCAACACGGTAGGATGAGTGATACATTAGTATATACAGTGAAACTACCCAAAAACAAGATCGTTTAAAGTTGAAACTACCAGGAAGAATAGCCAGGTCTCATTGTGTTATGGAAGAATAGCCAGGTCTCATCGGATTTCACCAGTAAATGTAGATGGCTCAACATGTTTCCGAGATGGTTGTAAAATGTTGTAAACACTAAACAAAAAATGAAACCAGCACAGTGGGTAAGTCGCAGCTTTATGTGCTGCTAACCCAATAAAGGCTGCGGCTTATCGCAGTGGGTGCTTAAAGAGCACCAATCACCATCAACAGAGGTATCCAACATGAACGGATCATCCCGAATCCCATCAACAACCATGACACTAACAGTTTTTTGAGAAAACACAAACATGAACAAACATGAAACATCATGAAACATCATATAAAAATAAGGTGGTTGGCGCACAACAACACAAACACTAATACAACAACTAGTAAAAAATGACGGCATGATATATGGTGTCAGAGGGGTACTGTTTTGGTGGAGAGCCAGCCAAAATTGGTTGGGCTATCCAAAGCTGCCTTGGAATTGGCCTGAAGCTTCGACCCCCTCACCTCAATAGCCTTCAGGAGTTTGCTTTTCCTGGGGCTTGGACGGCTATGAATAGAGAGTAGCTCCGATAGCAAACCACTTCTACGCGCAAAAACAAGTCATTTGATGTGATTTGTTGACCCCAATTTTCTGTTGGAGGGAAAAACCACCAAGGTGGCTTTTGTGAGTCACACCACCTCAAACCCATATGTCTGATATGTCACCCATACATCTCGATTTTTCAGTTGGTCAATCCGCATTGTTAAAGAGCATTCAGGTCTATTGAATCCCAAGGCTGCTATCTGCATTAGAGGCCCAGGAGGCTCCAGTCACCCACCTTTCCCAGTGAACTTGCTGGAGTGGTTGGCACAAATAATTGAACGTGAGGGTTCTCTCTGGAAAACACGTTTCCAAACCTCATGGAACTGTCTATCTTAGTCATCTTCATGGAAACGGACAAACATAGCGATATGCGGCTGAATTAAAATGTTTCACCAACCTGAAAACCATGATTTTGGGATGGCCACCCTGTTGAACCATTATCTGCATTGGCTTCGTTTTGAGGTCACTATTATTCGTCAAATATGGATGTTTCATGGTGGGTTTGCTGCAGCGTTTCATCCCTGATTGAATGGATCGAAGGATTTGATGCGCTACCACCGTCCAAAATATGTAATCATGCACAAAACGTCCAAAGGATTTTTGCTGAGGATGGGTCAGGTATGGGCCAAAAGCAGACAAGCTTCAACACGCGCAAATTCCCGAAGAGTGCCTAAGCTGAAAAGAACCAAGGATGTTCTGCTCATCCCCAAAGTTTGCCGGCAAAAAGTTCAACACTCTGAGTTTGAATCATTGAAGCTGGTGTGTGAAAAAAAAACATGCCAAATCGTCAAAAGTCCAACAAGTCCATGGTCGCCCCCTGCGTCAGGCTGATCAGGTTGAGGCGCTGAAATTTGCAGTTCCATCACAGCTTGCGCTTCAGCTGAAGCCAAAGACCTGCAGGTCTTTAGAGCCCTGAGACCGATCTTGGTTTCATGATTCACCATGAACAAATATGAAAAATGCTACATGGGAGGACAAACCACAAGTCTAGAAACTAACGAATGTTTGCCACCCTGCAGTGAGTCAATCTGGAAATAGATGATGTTCCATGGCTATGTTCATCCATGAAATGGTGAAAGTGCAGCCCTTCGCCTGCTGGCTTTGCCATCTGCTGAACAACTTAAGCTTAACGCCTCTTCATTCCAAATATCATACTCATGTATATTATGAGTAAATTATGTGCGTTTAAATTCCTCTTACCCTGTTTTCTTTTATTATGTTTCTTGCATAAAACATGATTACGTAGTCTGATTACCAACATTTTACTATATATGTTACTTAATTTACTTTGTATGTTACTTATTTTCTATTATAATTTATAACTATGTTCTTTGCTTCATTACTATGTCTCTTCCACAGTCTCATCGCCTGATCTGTCGAAGCTCCTCAGGGCCGAAGCTTTGGATGTACTCCTGGTGGGCCGTGGTGCGAGATCCACTGGATTTAGGCCTTGTGGGAACATGATGAAGCAATAGATAAAAAGGGCCTACCATTCTGATCATCGCCGTTGATAACTGGGGTACCCAGTTTTGGTAATGCGGGGTTGATCTTATAGAACAAGAGTTTAAAGTGGAACAAATATGAGTGATGCTCAATGATTACCAAATGAAAGGTATTTTGATGTATTTTATTTTTGCTGTATTACCAACTTTTGAAGCAGGATGATCTTCCGATGTGCTCATGGTTGTTAGGGCTATGAGTTACAAGTTGGTCCTACAGCAACATAGTTGGCTTGCAAATGACTCCAATAATTATGTCCCGCGCAAGGCTGCAAGGATGCGATTTAAAAGAAATGCGCCAGTCACCAGTCATTTCAATTTCCCCCGTCCCACTCCCCTTGTTAAAGCTATACACTTTGGTATTTCAAAATAGTTAGCTACGAAGCATCGTCACGACTATTCACGGCTAATAGGTACATCATCAATGCGTCATTTTCCATAGCTGCCTGAAAGATTTTAAAGTACCAGAGGGTACCATAGAATTAGCGTTGGAGTCTATCATCCCATATGACCACGTCTTTGTTCAACGATTCAGCTCCGTCCTTCAAGGAGGTATCCACTCGACTGTCTCCCTTCCTGGCCACAACAGGTTGGAAGCTCCAATGGGGAATCATCATCCCCATGGCCAGAGCACCAGTCCTATGTGTCAGAGGTGTTTACTTTAGCCCTGGTTGGTACCCTGGTTTTGTATGGTATTTTTGGTGGCGAGATGGTTGAGAAGGGGATGGGAAACTAATTCCACACTACTTCTAGTTGCTACAGATCAACATGATCCTACTAAATTCATTTTTTCTTTGGTATTTTATCACCATGTTCTGATGTTTTATTCCAATTTCCCTATAAAATGATCGTATTTCTGGTGTTGAATTCCAGTATGTCTGGTGTGTTGTTTGCCAATTCTGCTCAATGCCACTAACTCTACTACCATCTTTCCACCAAATTCTATATATATTTTTTATGTTTTACCCTCTGGTAATTTAACATAGCTATGAAAAATCCATGAACATCACCATTTTTTTAATATTTTTCCTTGGTAAATCATCTGCAATTGCGGGGGTTTTCCTAAATTCCCATGGCGCCAACCACTCGGCCAGCGATCGCCCAAGCATCTGCCAAGACAGCTCCATCCAGCGTGGCACGGGACGGCGGTGTCGCTTGCGGGTCTCACCTCATATGCGTATAGATAACATATATGTACATAAATGATACATAAACAAATAAACATGTAACATGCATAGTCAACTTGTGTACATGTAAATGTAGATATGAAAAGGTGTCCGTGCCCATGTATATGTATACTATACAGGCACACTGCTGCAACCCACCAAGTGATACTGTAAATGAGATCCAAGTAACAGCCACTGAAAACTTGGGGAGCCTCCAAAAAGGAAAACAGCCCTTATGGGTTTCATGCGCTGCATGTGTTCAAGCGCAGATCCGTGGCCTATCTCAGGCTCATCCGGCTCATCCTCCTCCACTTCATGTAAGGACCTCAGCGCCATGATGCGCCATGTGACATGACCCCATGGACCCCCTGGACCCCATGGATCCCAATGTGGGCGGAGAGCCTGAGCTCAAACGTCTAGCATCCTCTAACGGCACTCCCGGATTTTTGATGCATGTGCATTTATCATTTTCCCAGAACATCACACAACATCTCCCGACATAGGGTTGTCGGAACAACTCAGGGTCAACCTACACCCTCAATGGAATATAACCAAATTACATATCCCAAAATAAATTTGCTTTTTGTAGGTAGTACACTAACGATTCTCAGACACAACCAGCATGGATATGGAGTTGGTTAGGTATATCGCCGTCAAGCGATTGTCTGATGATACTCCGAATATCCATTCGTTCACTTATAGTTGGAACTGCGTCCCCAAGTATGTTGAAGAATGTTGATAAGATGGATGTTGACGGTATATATAGCATAGCTACATGGTATCTACATGGTTTACATTCCAACTTGTGGAGGTTATTCCCATAGTTCCAACCATCAAAAAATCACCTCAGCCGCCCCCCTCAGTTTTGTATAATCATCAAAACATCACATAGATACTATAGATATATCTACTATAATTCCATATAATTCCTACTTCTCCCCTGCCAAGCAACACAATCTTGTCCAGTTGGTATCGCACATCGGCCTTCCGCAGGTAGTACCCGAAGAGGGCCGACATGGCCTGGTTCCCACTGGACCCATTTAGTTCAGGGATTTCCTAGCCATGTTTGATTGCAAGAGAAGAGATCCCCACAATCATACAACAAGGCAGCGCAGAATAACAAAACCTAAGATGAAATAACTTGAGACAACACATGTAATTGCAACACATGGCACTAATATTGTAGCTAATATGCACCAAACTCTAAAACATCTGCGAATCCAACCAAAACAACAAACACACACAGAGTCCGCTCATGTCAGCTCATGTCAGCTCGCGAGCAACACCATCCTGTCATCGTTTGTCATCCTTCTTTTTTGGTTCTAGTTCCCTATAATTATATAATATATTGAAAACTTAACGCCAGAATGGATCATTCAAAGGTACACACATATATCTCACATCAATAAATAGGAATAAATGCACGCACATTCAAGTCCATTTATATAAACGTTCTCAAGTTGTAAATATAACCTCACGGCTAACCATCAACCAAAAACCCATTTGACTTAGCCGACTTAGCCGCTGGAAGGTTCATTTCTCATGTCCGTGTCAAAGCATCGCCTTTAAAAATTGTTTATCCACTGGCATCAACTGAGCGTTGCTCACGTTTTCGATCGAGGCACATAGACCTGTCCCGCTTGGTACATGGCAATACGCAGGGCAGGGGCTTCAGGCCCCATTTTCCGGGCCTGGCAGCGGTGATCGAAGTGGTATGACATGGTTGTGCTGTTATGATACATGATGTGTGACACATGACGTGAAATGACGTAACATGATATGAACTATGAAATGATATGAAATGATATGAAATGATATGAAATGATATGAAATGATGTGATATGATGTGACATGATGTGATATAATGTGGGGTATGATGTGATATGAAATATTATAAATATATATATATATATATGGCAAATGAAAATAATATACGACACATGGTATATGATACATTCCGAGTAAATGATATACGATATATGATATTTGATCTATGATAAATGATATATTATATTCAATATATTATATATGATATGATACAGTGATTACAGTCATCCAAGGCAAGGGCTGATCCACGGGCATTGAAAAGCGTCATCAATCTATCGGACGGTTGCACCAGTCCGGGTGCATCAGCATGGTGCCTCCACTCCAACAATGTTGAAGAGGTGGTCCCGAACCAGTTCCAACCTTTGGTCCAGGACAGCGTTCCTCCACCATCTGGAATGATTCCAGTATAGTGGCTGATAGGAATTGCCATGGTGGATGATAATTACAAATAATCCCCAAGATATTGGGTCGCAAAGCTCCTATTATCATCAACCAACAGGGGGTTTTGAACACCGCTCATGTAGATCCAGCATCTCGACAAATAGAAAGATGGTAATCGATGGTCAACAAGAAATACAGGCCCGAAGTCACAGCTAACTTTCAGCAGGTATGGGTTCCATGTGGAATGCGAGAGACCTGTTTATGGAATACATGCAGCAGCACTTACCTGTGTACACCGTACATTAAGCATGCTCATGGCTACAGAAATTGACAAACAACTACGCATTTATCAACTTGTGATCTGCGTTTCGTTGCGTAAATGGCTAGGTCCCTTCAAATAGAGCCCATTTTCACCACCATTTCACCACCATTATATCCGTTGATCATGGCCTCCGATGAATTTTCCAAGTTCCCATGATTCCCATCATGATTCCCATCCAGGCCGCGCTTCCATGGAGTAGATCTCCGTGAGTCCTCGCAACTGCTCGCCATCCATGTCCAACCTGCGACACGCGATGGTAAAGTGCATGACTTCACGAAACTATGAGATGAGATAAGTATGAAATATGGTAGATATATCATGATATATCAATACTATCCTATAGTATGTATATATATATATATATATTTATATATATATATAGTTGATGTGATGCATTGATAATTATATATATATATTCCATACTTGGTGGTGCAGTTAGGGGTTAAGATTTATGGCTAGGACCATGGCAATCACTTCCATACGTTACTGATATGATATAACCCCTACTTTTGCAAAAAAAAATAGTGTTGCAAGTGAAAAGGAAAGTGTCATATACAACAACAAATCAATGTTGCATAGTATTACTAGTATATTACATATTATATTATAGTATATAGTATAAACTATAAAATTATTGTGTAATATAAAATAATAGAGTATTTTATACGATGTTATATTATATTGCATCAGAACATATTATATATCATATAATCTGAAATGATATAAACTATGTATTTAAATCCCAGAACTTTTATGTAGTACTTAAAGTACTTAACTTTATAGTATCTATAGTCTATAGTTCTTATAGTTCTTCCTAATTGATTGATTTTGATAGTACTTATAGCATTTAGTTCTCTCTCTCTCTCTCTCTCCCTCTCCCCCGCCTGACCAGGCCACCACCCTTCAGGGGTGGAATGAAGGGAACCTCCAGGTATTTGAACATGCTGGCAACCATCAAGTACATCCTGAGGCTAAAGAAAGCATGGATGATGTGAGGATCAGTACAGTAACTATTTTTTTGATGATTTTCTGAGATTTCTATTGATGGATGAAGGCTCCAACGGATTGCACCAAATGGGATGATAACCTGCAAATGTGGATCCCATGTGGACCTGCTGCGACATTGTGAGCATACAGTACATCCATGACAGGATAGCCATGATTATTGAAATGACTGTCAAATTATGACAGAATATCACAGAATAATAAATGTCTCATCATATATATATATATATTTATAGTGATCTTTGATCCACACAGCCTCGACAGGACAGAACACGAAGAAGCGACCGACACCATTGCAGGACATGACCACGCTAGATCGGGGGGTAACATGGAGCAAGCGCCTTTTTGTTTCCGGTTACTGTTTGTGATGTTTGTTGGGTCATCCCAGACTCTAGCTTCAAAACGTCAGATTGGCTCAACTGTGTGGTCTGGTCCCCACGGCCACTTTGTGGACTGCCAAAATGAAGGAACATTGATTTCCCCAGCGAAAATGGTGGGGAACACCCTAAAGTTGATGGATTAACAGCTGATGAAAACCCCATGTGTTCCCCATATAGAGCAACTGAGCCACAACTCCGAGGCAGTCTTCAGCCTGTGCCAGTGCCAGCTACCAGGATTGGTGCCACCTGTGGTATTTTAATGTATTTTATGTAGATGACTTACGGTTTGGGGTTTGCCACATGAATTTCTCATATCATACTTCTTTATTCTCTCTCCATCGCCCTCTCCAAAAGCCTGTGGCTGTTGAAATATAATTTGCGGCTAGTGGTAAGATAAACCCATCTGGGAAATATCGTTCTGACATGTTCTGACTGATTACCATGTTGCAACAATACCATACAATACCGGTATAGTACTATGTAGTACTAGTGCCCAAGCCTCAAACATGGATTTCTGGGCAAACTACTATCATTCATAGACGCTGGTTAATATGATTTCAGGCATGCAAACGATCATCTACAGAGAGGTCGGCAGAGGCGCACCTCTCTTTCCTCTGGATATGCGCGATCCGCCGTCCTTACATGGGAACATGGAGGGGGGACAGTTTGGTATACCATGCGCATTAGTTGTTTTTTGTCATTTGCCTCTTGGTTGTTCAACGGAGAATTACTCCTCTATTGAAACTGCTTATCACCCAACCAGTGGGCAAACCACATCTCTGACTGGTGGCTGCAACCCAAGAAATATTATTGGTCAACAGGGGATCATGGTCCCAAATATGGTTGAACATGGGAATCAAAATAGAAAAATGCAATCACTAACCAGGTGATCACTGCGATTCTCTTATGCTTTGGGTTCCTGAATCTTCCCACGTGTTCCTCGACGAAGTGACCAATAGTCATGTGCTTTGACCAAGGGGCATCAGCGACAATCTCACTGGCTATGGTAAAATCTGGCAAACAAATATCTGGCAGATTGATATGCTATGGTAAATATATGGTAAATATCTGGCTATGGTAAATATATGGTAAATCTGGCAACATGTCAAATTCATCTTACCCTCTGGTAAACTAACAGGGTTGGTTGGGATATCCTCGAATAAAATGGAAGGTTTATTGGGAATGTTCTTCTATAAATCGGGTGGTGTTCCATTGCCATGATTGATTACTGGAGAGTAATCCGCCAAAATACAAAAAACCATATAGGTCTTGACCCAACCTGAGATCTTCCGCGGACAAAGTGGCTCAGGGATAGCAAACCCAATGCTTCACCCATGGCACCTGGCCTCGGTCTTCGGAATGTCCCGGATGAATTCATCCGGCTGTTTTTTCATTGGGTGGGTACCATTGTATCATATTGTCATTGATTATCTCTACTTGGGGAGTACCCCCTAATGAATCAACCATATGGTTTATTCATCCAGGGTTGACATTATCCATTAATAATCATGGTTATTACAGTAATTGAATTTAAGCGGCAATGATGATGTTTTACCACTAGAAAACGGGGTACCATCCCCACAACCCTTTGCCTTTGACCTAAGAAAAAAACAATCCCTTACTAGGAAAAGTAGTCTTCCAACCCACATTTGTCATTTGTCAAGTTCGTTGGGGAGGACATGCATGTTGTGAGCTCCTTTGCTATGGCCCATGTGGATTGTTTTGTCTTGTTGGTGCGATATGTTGCGATATTCATGTATTCTATGTGCATTACAGGGGCCCACCATTCAAGAATCCAAACAACACATGGGTGGCCTGGTCACGAAGGTCAGAATGCATGATCATCCCAGTTCAAAATGGTATTGTTCCAGGGATGACGTTACACTACGTGCTCCGATCTATGAGCATCAGTCTTGCCCATCAAAATGATCAAAATGAATCCATGGATGTGATATTGCATCCCTCGGCCACAAATGCTCCGCTAGTTTTTTTTTCCCGGAAAAAGGGATGGATATTTAAAAAAAAGAACGCTGAGCCCAAACAAGGCACACCCCATGCCCCTTAGTCTTGATACAATACGTCATAATACGTCATAATAAGCGGCCCGGACCTGAATTCCATCCCTATTTTATTTGGGGTTTGCTGGGCAGCCTTGCTCAGAAACATCAAGGCTGAGGCCAGCACGGGTTGGGCCGAGACGATTCCTTGGATCAGCATGGAACTTGGAAGGCCCAAACGAATGTCTGAAACCCGGAAAACATATGATAGATTACCCGGGTAAACAGTACTAGACTTTCGAATTACTGTGAATATAATTTCCATTGAAGATCTTTCAGTTGCAACCATGCCCACAAAAGAACACATCTGTATTTGTGTGGGCGGTGTCAAACGATGCGACAAATGACGGTGTCGAACACAGTGACGGTGTGCAAACCTGAGCTGCTGCCACACGTTGAATGTTCAAACTTGTCCATTCCCTTAAAAAAACTTTGTAGAAACCTGGGTTTAGTATGGGATTTGGTTATGTTTTCCATATAGTATTTTATATTTGGGGTTATGTTTTCCATATAGTATTTTATATTTGGGGATGGGACTACTTCTTTGCTTGTTCTTTTCGAAGTGGAAGTAAGCTTCACTACACCCAGCACCTGGTTGCCTTGCAATATGACGCCAAGCGTCTTGCTTGGCCTTCTTGGCAGCCAGCAACCTGAAGATCAATTGCCAGTTCAATGTATTCTAATGGTATCACCCAACCATTGTCGGAAATGAATTAAAACTCATGCGTGGCATTGGACAAAAAGACGATGTCTGTAGCTATCACCACTGTTTTTTTGTCAATATTCGCTGCCAAGCTGCTTAAATTCTTCCTTCACCTGAGGCTATCAGACATGGTTTCCCCGTTGGCCTGTCTGAAAAAAAATCGAAACTTAACCAGCTCCCGAGGGCTTGCTGACATCATGCGTATTCATGTGCCATGTGCGGCTTTTGGTATCCGAAGGTCATGGTTTTGATACTGTTCAGGCCGCGGATTGGGAACCATATAACAGTCATACAACAATGGCACCACGTTCACACCGGTGCAGGTTGACGGCATCCCGTGGCCGAGTCACAGTTTCATCCACCAGCACCAACAAAGGATCGTATTGCAAGTGCTTCCTGGCAAGAGGTTAGATACCATTGGCAATATCCCCCCGCGGGAAGGTCTGGTTTGGTACACACACGCGCGCGCGCTCTCTCTCTCTCTCTCTCTCTTTCCATCGCCATCTCAGCAGGTGAGACTGACCTGGAGCAGGGGCGAGTAGCGCTGGTTCGCTACTCACTCTCTCTCTCTCTCTCTCTCAATATATATATATATACATAAATATATATATATATATATATATTAATTTTCGGGTCCGCCCCGCCAAAAAAGGATATCTATCGATATCTTATAGATTGGGACGTGATTATCAGCTGCGGAATTGGTTGAGCGAAAATTCAGCAGGAAACCTGTGCATATAATATATACATATATATATATTCGATGGTCAAAACAGTGGTTCTCTGTAATTTGACCCTTGAATTAAATCATATTAATTCAGTATTGGAGGTCCTGTGGTTTTAAATCATGTCTTTCAAGGCTCATGCCCATCGGTCATCCCAGTCTCCAGATTCACGGCCATCTCAGTCAACCAATGGTAAATATGGGTGATTGCCTCAACCTATGTTGCCATGATTGTTACTGTTGAAATTCATTTCCATCATACGCATATATGGAAGAGGCTGAATGATCTTTCAAAAACATGTAGAAATAGTATGAGCAAACATAAACCCACAAACATACATGTCATGCGGACCAACTCAGTCGCGTCAGCTGACAACCCCAGTGATAGCCGGCTAATGGGGAGCTCATGGATTGTAATGATAATCCCTCCCCAGACTGGGTAGCAAAGCATATCCCATAATATATTCCAATCAATATATGTGTATATATATATATATGTGTGTGTGTGTGATATATATATATATATATATATATACATATGTGTGTGATACATAGAAATATAAATATATAAATATATGATATATATATATATATATGCGCGCACACACACAAATCACACATATATATATATATTTTTTTAATATTCCGTGTATATATATATGTATATATATATAGATACATATTAAATCATGTAATTCACTACATCCATATATCTAATTAGTGCTCTTAGTCAAGTGATCATTACTACACCGGTCTCATATGATCAGTTATGTAGACATGTGATAGGTATTGTTGTTAATCTGGTGTCAAACAATGCAAATTATAAATATACTGTATATATATATATCCATCGCTATCAATTCATGTATAATATAGCAATATAAATACATACAATATAACTACTATTAATTATTACCAACTAAATTGGTTTATGTTCAATAATATAATATGAAGTAACTATTATTATCTATGCATAACTATAGTATTCATAGAATTATGAACTATCATTAACTATCATTAACTATCAACGATTATTAACATCCAATAGATCATCATGTTTAACTACTGCTAACCATCATTATGAACTAGCATTGAACTATCATTAACGATTTTTAGCGATTATTAAGCAATATTAACAAACAGTATGATTATTAACAATTATTCCCTATTTTAACACATTATTTTGAGCTGTCATTAACAATTATTAACCATTATTAACTATTATTAACTATTATTAACAAGTATTATCAACTATGATTAACTATGATTAACTATGATTAGCTATTAGCTATTATTAAATATCATGGACTATTATTGACTATTATTAACTACCAGTATAATGTTAACTTTTATTAACTATTTATAACTATTAACTATTATTAAGCATTTGTATCTATTTCTAACTATTATTAAGGATTATTATCTATTATTATCTGTTATTGTTAATTATTAACTATTAACGATGATTAACTATTATGAACTGCTAACTGATGTTAACTGTTATTAAATAACTATCATGAACTATTGTCATCCCGATAGATCTGCTTCACGAAATGAACATTTCACGCCAAGTCTCTGCACCCGCCGCGCTGCTTTGGTCTCCAACTTCGCAGGGCCCGGGCTCCACAGCGCCGGCGCCGCCGAGTCACCTGAAAATTAGCCGCTGGATGCCGCTGGCATAAAACGATTTTAGTGATATTAGTGGCTGGTTTATGGTGGTTCGTAAGATGGTTGATGGCTGCTTTATGGTGAATAGTGGCTGGTTTATGGTTTGTTGGAAATAGATGTACAGTCAGCCCTTACAAGTTGTGGTGGTTGATTATGGATGATTGTGGTTGATCTTACAGGATTTGCCCTCAATCATCCCCACATGATTCATGTAACTTCTTGATCATACAATCATGTCGTGCTTGATTCTTCCAACCCCAGGGTTCCCGTCGTTTCCAGCACCTTCCTCGGCGGCATGTAGCAACGCTTCGCGACCTCATGGGGAAGGAAGGGTAAGATCCAAGAAAAAAACAGCTGAATGGTCGCAAGAAGCTGTGAACCAAACATGTCCCAAGGTGGTACTATGTGATACTTCACAAATGAGTACAAATGCGGGATGGAATCAGATAGAAGCTACGGAGTGGACTTGTCTCTCAGTTTTCAGTTTGGAAATTTTGGAAGGTGTTTCCAAGAATCGTTTTCCAGGCTGGGTGGCTGAACCAGCACCAACCCACAAACTTCAACAGGGAAAAATAGGAAAAGGGATCCGATCATGTCTGCTGACCAAAGAACTCACGGAATTGTAGCATCTTCATGTAACCAAACTGACAGAAAGACAAAGCACTTCAAAAATCCATCATTTATATCCACAAGAATCTATCTCACATGTTCTTGTTCCAGGATTTGACATGTTTGGACCTCAATCCCCCTATGATTCTGCGAGAACTCAGCCCAGGCCTCTACGAATGAGTGGAACCTCCAGGGGCATTCAGTGTCCCCCAACATGGCTCAACCATCCCAGAGATGCAAGTGGATAAAGGATGATACAACTAGTGCAGGGATAGACAAGTACAACAGGCACACACGCACAGGAATAGAATAATCAAATAATCCCTTCCCCCTGAATGTAAAAATCAAGGCTACAGAATTTCCACATAATTGGGACCGGGGGGTGAGTGTTATATAGGGGGATGGGATTCATAAGGATGGTAGTGAAAAAACCTGAAAAAACACCAGCCAGGTGCCTTCTGTCGCACCATGTCTTCCCTCCAACTGCTTGCGAAGGCATCGAAGACATCACGGGCAAGCAGCGTCAGCCTGAAATTGTGGTCGGTGTCCAATTGGGGATTTTTATTGTGCAGCAAAGCAATGTGCAAAAAGACGGAAAAGGATTTTACTTTTCATTTTTTTTGGGTGCTATATGTATTGGTTTTGAACGGGTAAAATAAAAAAAGAAGAAACCTTTTCGTTTGGGTGGTAAACATGGTAAAGCTTAAACTTCAAATATCTTCAAATCCGTTCTGCATCAAAAAACTATTTAAAGTTGTCCGTTGCTTTTTTTCCGATGAGAAATGTATCTTTCCTATAGGCCGATTCGGATGCATTGGAGGCAATCGCAAATTCCTAGTTTTCGTAGAGGCAATTATATAAATCATCTGCAAACAGGGATTGGGCATTGAGACATTCAACTGCCACGAGGCTAAAACCAAACAATGCATTTGGAAGATTTGGCCCATACAGAAACTTGTTTGGGGGATCTTGCCCGTACAAGAGTGATACAGTCCCGAAATTTGAAGATGCATGTCAAAAACACAAACAACAACATGGGAAAGTTGAACATGAACTCGCAGAAAAACAGGCTGGGAAAACAAACATGCGCAAATGGATCAAACTGGTACTTCCCTTCAAAATGTTTGGACGTAGGCCAACCTCCCAGTCCGGAACAGTTCCCAACAATTTCTTGCTTAATCACGTCACAGCTCGCAAGGGAGGGCATTTATTTTTTGTGAAATAATATTGTTTGTGCGCTCCTAAATCCTAAGGAAAATGCAAGAGCAGTCACAAAGGGCTCAATAACTTGGTAAGAAACAAACAAGCAACATGAAGGTGGCATGCACCTCGTGAGCATGATCCTATTGTCAGGACTCTAACTGTTAACCTGAAAAAAAACGGCACACCACACACACCACTCACATGACATCTCTCTTTTGGTGTTCTTCTCATGATGAGATCCTCATCGCAAGCAGTCTATACAACTTGGGCTAGCTGGTGTCTTCAATCATCTCCCCGCCGCCCCACCCCCCAAGAAAAAAGGTTCATTGCAACACCACCAGTTGAACAATAACACTGTCGTCATATGGTTGACATTTTTTTAAAGCCATAAAACATGTCAGTGACCGGATGAACATCACACAGAATATTGGTTCCATCCACCACTTGGGATATTCGATATCCGCCAAGCTTCGCCAAGGCTGAGAGCCAGCGACAGTCCTGGTGTAGTGTGACTAAGCCGTTACATGTTGATGTCCTTGTGTATGTGATTGTTGATAGTAACCATACTGTTGTTTAAATCTGGTTGGTGGTTTCAACTCTTCTGACAAATATTAGTCAATTGGGAACATTATTCCCAATCTATGGAAAAATAAAAATGTTCCAAACCACCAACCAGAAATTTTACAATACCATAAAAATTATAGTGATCATTGAAATGACTGATGTTTTGCCTTCACATCTTCGCACTTTAGGCCAGCAAAATTCACCGCTCCTTCCGCCTCCACATTGCTATGATCACAGCATTGCGCCCCTTTCAGTCGCCGGCTGTGCACCACATGGCGGCGATGGCAAAGGACCATAAAGATCCATAAAGTGTCTCTAAATGTTTTCTGTATTTTCTCGGTGGATCTTGATGGTGTCGATCTGCAAAAAAGGAGCCTAGGGTGGGCATGGCTGATATGCCGTGATGCCAGGCATTCATGGGCAATCCTGGGAGCCCCCAAAGCTGCGGGCATCCAACGAATTGGTTGTAACGAAAGAGGCCGACTTGGCGTACTGTGCGGGATCATTTACATCTTGGGTGTTCAGTGCTGGTTCACCCTTTCATACCCTTTCTTCCCCAAGTGGATCCAAAAGGACATGCTTTCGAAGCCCCCTGCCTGAAGTATCGCAAGCTAAACAATGCCTATTCATCAGCACTGCCAAGAAAGGCATCTACCCTTTCCCTGCCACTAAAAAAGGACAACCTCGCACCCACACCAATTGTGTGACAGTCTTTCATCGAATTTATTTATATAAGAACCAATGTTTGCAAATAAAAATGCCATTGGACCCCAACAATCCCGGGTCCATTTCCAGTTTTCAACCTCATAGATCCAAATAACGAAGAATCCAAAGTGATGTACATGGACTGTTCAGATCGGACTTTAGGTTTTTCTTCAAAACATAAACCTGAAATTATCCTCCCCAACTGTGCCCTCCACCAGCCAATATCAGGCTGGTTTCAGCCCGAGTATCACCGTCAAATCTTCAGTTAACAAAAATGGAAGGTCGAGGAGGCAACAAATCTGATGAAAGTCAACATGTTCATCATGTTCATCAGATTTACCCTCTGGTCATTTACGTAACGAAACTATGGTATAGATGGTTGGTCTATTTTGTTCTATGATTGCCGCAAGTAGCAATCTGTAGCAAACATGGTGATGTAAAGTACCACGGGCATCCACGGGCTATACGCAATATTTATCAATATTTCATATCTCATTCACAATTAACATCAATTAACATCATCTATTGAATATCTCACAATCCCTGAAATGGATTTAACTGGTCCATGAACATCGCTGTCAACGCAAATCCCAGCGGATGTCGCTGGGGATTCCCAACAGCAATGGCCGTGCGGCAGTGAATCCACGAAAGGTGAGGCCTCGAAGGCAGCGATTCCGTGGACATCTGCGGTGTTTTTTTAAGAAACGGATGACATAAATTATTACTATTTATGGCAGAAATGTAGATAATTTATACATATATATGAAGACATATTATAGTTTTATTTCATTATATATGAATAGATATATGTAGAAACAGCTATAGATATAGATTCTATCGATATCCATGGTCTATAGATATCTCTCTCGCCTTCTTAATGTTGTTTTTGTTAACCAACCTGCAACCGGGGGGTCACCTTGTAACATCAGCAAGCAAGGGAGACATGTACCATCAATAAGCCCTAGGCCTGAGAACGGCGGAGAAGAAAGGTGTTGATCACATAGAAACCTTTATTTTGTTGGTTGAACACGTTTGCCATGTTCAACATCTCTCCATTTCCAAATGGACGCAGGATCATCCCCTTAGCAACTGGTAAGCCTAGCCATAGCCCATTTGATAAGCCCATTTATTGGACTTATTTTGAGACTTTATCTTTTTTGATATTATTTCTTCTTATCTTCTCTGACTCTTCCCACCTATGCTTTTCATTTGTCCATATTGTCGGAAGTTTGACTTCTAAGCTTCCTTTGATCATATATATATATAATATACCCTACATGACCCACATAGATATTTATGACTCCGTGTCTGGTGTTCACGGGGGGATACATGGACATGTACATATACAATACATACAGACCCATGTATATATATATATATATATGTGTGTACTTAAGTATATATATATATATACTTAGTATATGTATATATATATATATATATATGTACTTAAGTATACATATATATATACTTACTTACATATATATATACATACTACTTACATACATACATATATAACATATATTATATACGTATATATATACTGTATATGCTGTGTATATATATATATATCCACATCTGTACACATATACTTGTATAATCTTGTATCTATCCATATACATATACATATAGGATCGTATAGGTATAGATACCATCACCATCTCAGCGGGAAGGGGGCACCACCAAACACTGGGCCATATATCTCCGTATCATGTGTATGTATGAATGTATGAACGGATGACTGTAATGTATGAATGTATGTATGTTTGTATGAATGTATGAATTAATGAACTGTCTGTAGTGTATGTATGTATGAGTGGAAAATAAATGCATGAATGTATGAATGTATGTTTGCATGAATAAATGAATGTATGAATGTAATGTTTGAATGTATGAATGTAATGTATGAATGAATGTTTGTATGAATGTATTAATGTAAGAGTGTATGAGTGTATGAATGTATGAACGTATGGGTGTATGAGTCTATGAATCCATGTCTGTATGAAGAAATGAATGTTATGTTTGAGTGTATGGATGTAATGTATGAATGTATGTTTGTACTAATGTATACATGTATGAATGTATGAATGTAAAAAATAGTGTATGAATGTATGAGTGTATGAGTGTGTGAATGTATGAGTGCATGAGTGTATAAATGTATGAATATATGAATGTGTGAGTGTATGAGTCTTTGAATGTATGCATTAACAAATGAATGTATGAATGTAATGTATGAATGTATGGATGTAATGTATGAATATGTGTGAATATATGTGCGTATTAATGTATGAATGTATGAGCATATGAGTGTACGAATGTATGAGTGTAAGAATGTATGAATGTATGAACTGTAATGTATGGATGTATGAGTGTACAATGCAGGTATGAATGTTTGAATGTATGGTATGGTATGGTATCATGGTGTGGCATGGTATGTAGGACTGTAGTGGAATACAGATGATCCCAAGCCATAGCCTTGCGGAGTCAACATGGCCAAGTCACCAGCGGCAAACCAACCGCCTGGGTAAAGCCTTGAGAGCCTCAGAGAAGCAGAGTGAAACGGAGAATTGTCCATTGCCATGTTGGATTACCGGAGGGTAATTGGTATAATTGGGATATATTGGGATAATCCCTTAAACATGGCGATCCGATTCATATGTTTCGAAAAACCATATTTATCATTTATCCATACGTTGAATAATCATGAATAATCTGGTGTACCTAGATGTTGACATATTTTGACCGCAGTTGGGGTTGAGACAAAGCCAAATTCTCTGCACCATGTAAAATCAAAGGGCATTCTGGTGACCCAAAAAAGCAGGGTTGACTCATCATGGATCAACAGGACATGACATGCGGATAAATTTTCACGCCCAGCTTAGAATGATTTTGGAATGACAAAGGGCAAGTAATGTTGTAAACGTATTCATGGAACGCTGTCTGGGAATGGAGATGTATATTGCTTTCGAATTGAATTCAAAATAAGTTGACCTCGACTTGTTTAAATTTGATTTGAACTGAACATCCAGTTGAGTTTGAATGAACATTAACCGTTTGAAAGTTAATCTTATTTGGTTCTACGCTAATTTAGACTGACTGAACCTAAGTTTGAAGTAAAATTGCATTTGAACTTTGAACTGACTTACTTAAAATTGAATTCAACTTACCATTGACAGTGATCCCAATTAATTAGAATTGACTTTATATTTTGTAGGAACGTCCCGAGAAGTTTATTTGCGGGGGCAAACAAAGCTGTTCATCTAGGTGTCGGCTGGTTTCTACTCTATCCCATTTGCAAATTTGTTTTTAGGCATGATTGAAACAAAATGCAATAACGAAAATGTTTTTCTTCAAACCGATCAGATATGATCAGATCATGATCAAACAAAATCAAACGGGGAGACATGGGGAACGAAACATGGAAAAACATTGGCTCATTGGGATAATCTGTCCCGGGATAAAGGGCGTACGCGACATTGCGGCAGGGCTGACTAAACTGGATGTGAACACTCTACACTTATGCTATCTAATCTTATGTTGCAGCGCGTAAGGGGTTCCATACCGCTTCAAAATTCTTGGGTAATGAGTGAGCTGCCACACTGCACCGAACCAGAATCACCTGGTGCCCAACTTCCAAGAGTTGGGCTTTCAGAAATATCTTGTGACACAACAAAAAAATGTTTCAACAAAATATGGGGGCCACTGGAAAAAACATGTTTTCCCATGAAAACCCATAGACTTGTTAAACCAGTATATCTCATATAGCCAGCCATCTATCGCCAAAAAAAAAAAATCTCGACCCACCAGCCGCAGCTGCAGCACCTGTGGGACCAACGCATTCAGCGAGTGGTACCGTCTGAAAACATCTGAAAACTATGCCGAAAGCTCGGCAACCGAAAGATCTGCGACAGGTCCCAGGGGACCGAATTCCTCCAGGTGCATGGGGCTGAACAATAACAGGGGGACATCAATTGACAATCTCCTTTTGGGAAGATATATATATATATATGTATATACATGTATACGTGCATATATACACATATATACATAACAAAATAAAACAAATATGTACACGTATATGCATACATATATGCATATACATTAAAAAAAAATAAATATATATATATATAATATTATATATATGCGCCTTCCCGTAAATCAACATAGCTATCAACAATGAGCACCTATTGATCTAATAAACTATAGTAAAATTACATTTTCCATAGCACATTGTTACATAAATTGCCGGTCTTGGGCTTGATTTGTTGGACATCGATATCTGACAAACATGGCCGGGAGAGATTGAACTCAACATGCGTTGCCTTCTTGTACTCCAACATGCAAAAGGTGTATTGTCAAAGGTGGACCCCTATCATTTGTTTCTCTCTCTCTCTCTCTGTCTCTCCCTCTCTCCCCATCCGTATCATAGTCGGGGATGATCATTGTTGATAGTTATCTATCAATCTTCATGTTGGATATCCCAACCACAATGCATATCCTGTCTGCAACAAGAGGGCTTCAGCTTGATCACCATGTATATCCATGTATCTACATTGATTTGTACTGGATTATCCCTATTCTCTGGCTGAA